CATTATTATGATACCAGCTGAATAGGGATGAAATAGCACAGAAAAATAGAGCTTCATTTTCTCTATCGTCTCATAAAAACAGAAAATTTCATCAAGCCTTCTATACGAAATTGAGATGCGATCGCCACTACTTTTGGGTACCCCTAAGTAATAAGTGCAAGATACCAATATTTTTTTTTCAACAGACTTATTCTCAAGCGAATCGATGTAGAATCCAATGCTCTATGGGATGATACCACTTCAAAATGAAAGTGATATCATTGTAAAATAATATCAGCAGTATATCTCATGATTTCGGCGATTATGAACTAAGGATAGTATGTCCAGTCGTTATTACCGTACATATTGCCACATCAATATGATAAATACTGTCAGAAAGCAGAGTGTAATTTTCTGCATAGAAACAACAATTTATTTTAACAATTCAAGAATGGAACGATATGACCCTTGACGCATCTTCATCCTTTGTTAGTTTAGTAGTAAGTGTTGATTTGATATGAATACGATTTATCGTATATTTAATTTGACGAATATATTTTCCGCCATTTTTTATTGCGATTAAACGCAATCGGACAACCAAAGGAAGTACAAAATTTTTGATTTTTCAATTTCTTTTATGAAAGGTTTTACTTTCATCTATTAATGTTGCCTTTGTTGTTACGTGGTCTCCACACATAATTTTAGTCAATTCAATCTATAAACCACAACATGATGACTATGATTTGCACAAATTCGGTGGCCAACGGATCTTCGAAATAAGTTCAGAAAGTTTATCAGTACAGCATTTTTGACACAGGTAACGAGTGCAAGGTTTTGCACCATCTTGCTGATACGTCTAGTTATTTTCTAACGTTTTGTCGTTAGATTTTACATGTACTGAAAGAATATCACTTATATAGCTTACTTTGTCGATTGTTACATCTTCCAAAATCATTGACACTGTCAGTTCTTCTTGACATATATTTAAGTACACCGTCACCTTTACCAGAAATTTTATCTTTTCATAAAGGGGACGTTTCTTTTCTATTTCTGTCCTGTTCAGCTCAAACCGAGTCACTCTCAGCATGATAATGAGTTAATGGATTGAACTGAGTGAAGCTATCTCTTAAGATCACATAACAACAAAGGCAACATTGATAGACGAAAGTGAAATCTTTCATCAAAAAAATCTAAATTTTATACTTCCTTTGGTTGTACGATTATGTTTAGTTGAAACAAAAACGACGAATGTTATATTAGTTAAATAAAATATACCGTTTTGTTTAGCGTTTCAAGTGTTGTCTTTCAATTTAAAAAAAATTGTTTTAATCACGAGGATAATAAAGAAAAAAATAAAAAAAAAATACTAAGACCACCATTTATTTTATGCCACTCGATATTTTACATTATAAATATATAAGTCATTAAAAAAAGCAAAGACAAATGAACATTTTTTTCAACGATTTGTTGATTTTTTCATGACTTTAAGAACCCATGTTTTAAATTTATTATTTTTTCTTGAATGTGTTGGTGACGATTGTTTATTCTGTGTTGATCGATAATTCGAACGTAAATATTCCTCAAGAGGTTGAACAATAAACTCAACATCAGAACATTCACCAACTAATGCCATCAAATTTTCATGAGTCATATTTTCAGTTGATTGTTGATTTACTGAAAGTATAACATCATTTAAACGAAGACCACTATTAGCAGCTGGACTATCATGTCCAACGTAATGAACAAGAAAATAATTGTTGTTATATTGTAAAGAATAGCCAAGACCTTCATCATTTGCTGGACGATGTAAATTTACAACACGTATACCTTCACCACTTATTGACGATGGAACCTTGTCCACGTCAGATTTTGCTGATCTTGCTAGTTGTTGATTGTCTTGAGCAATACTAGCATTATATGAAACTTCATTAGCATTTTCTCTATTGTCAACTGGTTTCAATGATGCATTAGGGTGGAAAATAATCTTTTTCCAAGAGGATACTGCTATGATTTCACATAGAGTTACCGATAAATTGTACATCAAATGAAAGCTCGTCGAAAACGAAGTTTATCAGTATTAAACAATAAGGTTTATGATGACTTTGGTATGTCAAACTTTCGAAATTTGTCTTCTATGACCTACTATAGATATGAGAAAAATTATTTATGTGATCAGATTCGAACTAAATATGATACATCTGCCATTCACTTTAATGACAAACAATAAGAACAATTAAAGAGAATGTCATCGAGAAAGAAATCATCAATTTATCTACTTTAGAGTAGAGTATGTATATATAAAAATGAATAGATGATCGTAAATTTTCTTATAAGTAAGAAAATTAAGGATTTATTACTAATGACTTTCATTTTTGTTTTGTGTATATTCATTATGAGGAGCTACATCTGCTCATTGAGAAAGTTAATTTTATGGTCGAAATTAAAATATACTTTATTTTTGCTCCAACTGATTTTAGACATCAAACTAGAGTTATGAACAAGTTTTTAGATTCTTGTGATTAGATTTGATAGAATTATAAGTGTTGAAAGATGAGGAACTCTGAGCAACGTAAAAAAGAAGCTCATCACCATTGTTATACTTGTATCTCCGTCATTTTTCTTCTATTTTGTTTGAGCAACATTTCATTTGTAAGAATGCATTAAACTAACGAGTACGTTACGAGTAGATTTATCAAACAAGGGAGTCTTCATATCAAAGAATTAGTTTTCCTTAAAAACTGTACTTTTATTAAAGTGGCTTTTACGATTGTAAGTCGTTCTCTAATATGATAACTAATCAGCATCCAACTTTAATATACTGCATCTTGTAGAAAATTTTGTGTTCTACAAAACCATTATAGTGATCTTGTGAAAAAATTTTTAGAAAAAGGTGAGGCACATTATCCACGAAATATAATTTTGTGCCTCTTTGACTATTATGTAGTAGATTTTCGTTAGAAAAAATCTGATTTGATCAAAAGTATTATGATATTCTGTATTAACTTAAAACATTGAATCGACTTAAGCGTATTGCAAGTATTTTTGAGACGTTTTTTTTTTTAATCAAAAAAATTCACCCTTGCTCATCTTGAATGTTTAGTCAGAAAATAAATTTCAACAAAAACAAGAGCATTTTGATGAATTTCATTGTTTCACTAAACTCTGAAGACGGCCGAGAGTGAATTTTTCTATGAAAAAAAAAACGTATCAGACATATTCGCAATACACATAAGTTGACTTCATTCTTTTTGCGCTAAAAAATTATATATCGGGAATAATGCACATCCATCTATTTCGATCTTTTCTGAAACGTTTTAATTAAAATCATTATAATGTTTTGATAAAGCACAACATTTTTTTACAAGATGAAATATATTGAATCACCATCGTCACGAAAAACTATGTATTGGATTCTGTCGAAAAGGCTTTGCTGTTCAGTATCA